ACGCTCAGGGAGATAAGCATTTCCTTAGCCCTCAACAGGAGCATGGGAAGTTTAAGAAAATGAGACTGGCACCACCCTAAGGAATTCACGGTTTTGTGGCTTGCTGGCTTGGGAACTTAGGTCCAGTCTGGAGAGATTTCTGTCTTTAGCTGGGAGCTAATAAATGCAACAGAACTGTATTTGCACTGTCTCGTGGAGTTCTTTGGGCTGAACCTGATAGTTATGTATAGTATTTCATATAGTGCACATTGGGATTCCCCTTACTTTATCTAAGAAGAACCCTGTCAGGGAGGTTAGCTTTGTGGCTAAAGGAAGACTTAACCCAGATCTCCTTAGTCCCCCAGTCCAACCCTACAGCAGTGTTTCTCAACCTTAGCAACTTTAAGCCATGTGGACTTCAACTCCCAGAATTCCCTAGCCAGCTTAAAGTTGCCAAGGTTGAGAAACACTGAACTACTGCACCACGTTATATGTTCTAAATTTAGAGAGCCTCATCCCAGAGATTTAGCCTAGGTGGTATTCCAGAAATATATGAGAAAAAATAGGGGGAAAGTGCTCCATAGAGAACATGGATGCATATATCACATGTGTCAATTCCTTAAAGCATCTATTCTTGGGCTGACACAACTTTTGATTCAAGGAAATACCCAGAGGAATCATCCCTTCCTCTTTAAACCCAGATCACAGGCCAGCCCTAATATAATATAAAATATCCTAATAATATAGGCTTTACCATTTAAAAAAAAAATCCAGAAATTAAAAACTGTCTTCTATCGCCAGTTATCTAAAGCACAGCAAAAATCCCTTTGTTATCCCAGATAGGAGCTCATGCAGCACACTAAATTATAATCCCTTCATTAGGTTTCGGCTTCATATATTTTGTAAATCAATTCATTATAGTTTATAAACCAAAAGTAGCAATCTGGATAATCTTCTTATATTGGATTTACAAAAGAGGCTTATTAAAGCTTTGAAGAATTTTATGAGGGGGGACAAAGAAAAAATGAAAAGAAATAAAGTTTTAGGACATTATTTGAAGGAACTAAAGATCAAGATTGTTAAAAGTAAAAGGAAGGAATATAAAGTTGGTTTATTTGATCAAGGTTAAAATAGATATGTTGCTATCTCTGGTAACCCTTAATGAACTTTTGCTGCTCAGGACTGAAATGATGAGGTTTTTAAGGATTTGTGTATAGATAAGAGATGGGATATAGGAAGAAGAGATCATTTGTTGTATTTTAAGAGAAGGTGATGTGTTATTAAAATTGTTTATAATTGTTGTAATGAAGGGGGAAGTCATTTCTTTATATATCTATTTTCTTTTTCTTTACTATATTCTTATTTTTTTTTCTATTTTCTTTTTCTTTTCTGCACTGTCTATTTTTTTCTTCCTTTTTTCTTTTTTTAGTTTGTATTAGTTTTTTATCATTGTGGCTGTAATTTTTAATAAAATTACTATCAAAATGAAAAAAAACACATAAGTAGTGTAGATTGATGTATGAGCAGAGCCACTATGGTTTATTCTACAAACCATGATTAAACAAACCATTAGTGTGATGCGTGAAAGAAAGGCTCAGTTGATTCAAATAAATTTGGGAAGTGCTTTATACAAAGTCAGATGGATGCTTTGTCCAACTCAGAAGTGCCTGTAGGTGACTGGCAGGACTTCTGCAGGGCTGATGTCTGTATAAAGATGCTAGACGCAAGCTGGGATCTTTTTCCACTCAAAACATGGGCTTGACCATATGGGCTACAGCCCCATTTCCTTTTATGCTGGAAATATAATGGAAATTACAAATACAGGGTGAGCAAAAGCATGCGCCATGCTTTCTGTTGGACTGCATGAACAGCTGTGCCAGTGTAATATTATTGCGCACATCACAGGGTTCCAGCCTATCATATGTAGTTTTTCCTCCAGATGGCTATTTGTCTTTTTTTGTGTGTAAAGGGGCACCGGAGGTCCTTCGACTCTGCACGGATGGCGTTCAGGCAAACGTATCTGTTCATTATCTGCTTTCAGTCACACAATGATAGAAAAGTCCTTGTTACGTAGACATTTAATTGCCTGAGAGAGGGCAAAATCAGAACCCCAATCCCTGTGATTGTCAGCAGATGTATAATTGCTGCTGCCAAGCATAACAGATTTGTGCAATGGTCTGATGATGTTTTGTTTCTTTGTGAGACTCTGTTGGCATACACAAAAAGAGGCCAGCTCCATTTCAGCAATCACACTGTGAGCCGGGAAATGCTGACAGCTTTTGTATGCAATGGGCTTGCAGTCCCAAGCACACCAGGGTCATTCAGTTGTTGCAGTATTCTCAGGGCCTCCAGCTGTGTGGTGTTATGGTCATGGCAGTCTTCTCCACATAGTACCCTTCAGATGAGTTAAATTACAATCCCTACCATTCCTGGCCAACCTAGGCTGGTGAATCACAGAGGTTATAGCCTAGCACAGTGGTTCTCAACCTCAGGAACGTTATGATATGTGGATTCACCTCCCAGAATTCCCCCAGCCAGCATGCTGGCCTAGCACACTTAGAGAGCATTAAGGAAATTTGGGGAGATTGCTGCCATCCTCTTCATAGCCCCCAGCTCCTGTTGCTGACCCTTCACACAATTCAGTGCTCCTGCCTAGTAGTAAGACAGATCCAATTCTCCATGAGAACTAAAGGAAGGGATAAGGTTAATTCCAGAGACAGCAGGTAGTGTGGAAGAAGCTAGACTGACCTTTAGTAGCACAGAAGGTGACAGCCTCTTGCTAAAAATATAACATGTCAGGGAGACATAGCCAGAAAAGGATAGATTATATGCAACTTGTTGGCCACTGTTGAGAAGCATCATTTCTTTGCTTCAGACAAGCGTAAAAATTCTGGTTCCAGAAAAGCAAATGTTACTGCTGGATGAATGTTCTAATCCAAAGGAGGAAAATTTATGGCTTCCAGATACTTCTAAACTACAACTCCCAGTATCCTCTGCAAATGTAAGCCTTCCTCTCTCCCTCCCATATACTTTGGAAAGGAGTCTTCTTCAGTTCATCTGGAGAAGACTCCATTTTCTTGGGAGTTTCTCCTTGCCCATCTGTCTACCCCGCATTGGAGACAACTGTTGTTCAGTATTAACATACAGTTTGTTGATAGTTTATGTTCCTCTCTCAGAAGAACAAACGTAATACCAGATGATACCTTTGTTTTTTCCAGGCCAACTTGAAAAGCAACAAAATCATGATCAAGCATTATTGATCATTATTTCCCAAAGTGTTTTTCCTTGCGTTTAAGGCAAAAGAGAGAGAGGATGCAAAGCAAGAAAGAAAGGCTGGGCATGATGCTGAACCTCAAAAGTTTGCAGTTTAAGGCAGAGCTGTGCCAATTTAATTAGATTAAACTTTGCTTCTCACAAAACAGATAGATTACACAAAACAACTGAGATAGATCAGTCCTTCCTTCCTCTGCCTTTTTTTTTTTTTTTTAACATATCTATATGTTGGTCACCCATAAGTGGAAAACTATTTATGGGCAATTTTGACTGGAAAAAAAAAACGTTGGCTGAAGCACTCCATCACTTCATCATACTGCCAGTTACACAGACAGCTTCCTAATCAGGGCTATTTCAGAGAAAAGCCACACCTTGTTGCCTGTAAGGTCTAGCCAGGCCT